CATCCATCCATTGTATGTCAAGCACATTTGTACATTTGTTGCCCTCATCATTCTCAAAACATTTGCTTTCTACGTAAGCCCTTGGTATCAACTAATTTCCCCCTCTTTCCCTCCTTGCTCCCCTCTCCCTCATGAACCCTTGATGATTTATAAATTATTATTATTTTGTCATGTCTTACACTGACCGATGTCTCCCTTCACCCACTTCCCTGTTGTAAAAAAAGATAATTTTATTGACAAATAACACATACATACAATTATGTGCTATCATCACCACAATTTCATAACATTTTCTTTTTCTTTGTTGTTATCTCCGCATTTCCCTCTACCCTCCCCTGCCATGGTCCTAGGTAATTATTAATCCAGTTGCTGATGTCTATAGATTTAACCATCATAGATTTCATCTATAGGAAATCATACAGAACAAAAAATGACAAAACTTCAATAGAAAAGAAAGCAAATACTTAAACATTAAAGTGGGTGAAAAGGGAGATCAAATGATAAGGTGTTACATTTAAACTGCCTCTGCCATATTAGAGTTTACAGTGCTCTCTGACATCAAGGCTGTTTGTATTCCTGGACTGGTCAGAGGGGGTTTATGTAGGCTTAATCCATATGGGGCCCTGCAAATAGATTTTGGACTTCTACAGTCATCTATAATCTTCTGAAAACTACCTGTTCATAATTTAAGCTCTGATGCTATTCGCTCTTTTGAATTTTAATTTTATTATTTTACAATCCTAAAATCACAAAGACTGGAGGACTCTTCTGTGTGAACTTAGTGGATGCCTGACTTACATAAGGCTAAAATTCCAGACAGGATACTTTGTGACAGCCAGGCACCATCTGATTTCTTTCTTTTTCTTTTTTAAGATTACAGTGAACCCTCGTTTATCGCGGTTATCGGTTCTAGACCCTACTGTGATAAATGAAATTCCGCGAAGTAGGACTCCTTATTTGTAAATCAAATATTTTCGTAGTTAGAGCATAGAGGACATGAAAAAACACC